TCCTGTAAACTTCTGAATTATGATCTGCTTTAACACTTCATATCTCGCTTCGCGGAACTGAGCGACGATTTTGCCAAAGGAAAAATTTGTTTCTCGTGCAAAAACGCGTCGAATGAGCCTAATCTCATTAAAATCGGAGCTGATTATGGTACTTCTAAATATTTATCATAGAGTTATTGATGTGACTTGTTATATTGTATAACTGACGTATGCGTGACGTCGCTGCATCCATCTTGCTAGCATAACGTCATATCCCCACCCTGAGTTCCCCTTCCTCGCGCGACGTCATACTCCGCGCACTGGGTTCCCCGCTTCCCCGCGTCCCCCTCAGCACTCCTAAGTTAGAACCGGCCTAACTATTCTACTGCTATAAAGATGTTTTCTCTCCTTTTTTCTTTTTTCCTTTACGCGTGCGAACGTGCACTCTGGAAATTATCTACGAAGAAATTATTCATCACGTCGAGTATTTATTTCCTGTGTGTGCGCGCACGGTATTCCCCTTTTCAAGTAGTCGCGCCTCCGGTTTAAAGATGGACTCAGCCGAACACATTTTTCACGTTTGCTCAAGTGCCTGCCGATCGATGTTTTTAATGAGACCATAGTGAGGAACTCAGTGCTAAAAATAAAATTGCGACAATGTTACGCAGTGTCCGAGCAACTTTGCTGCTTGCATCTTCACGAGAGAAGACACTGCGTTTAAGAAATTTTGCGAGATCATCGCGGTGTCAACTTGTTCATGTTTTACATCTTGATGAATATCTTCGATATCATTTATGCGCATGAGCATGATTAACGCTGGTAAACCGTAAGATATTCGCGCATGAAGATTTCGTGCCGCGCTTCTTCTCTCTCTTTCACTATCGAATCACGAAGTCCGTCTCGTTCCCTTCCATGTAATTTTATTTTGCATTTACTATGAACTTGTACTCATTATTCCAACTGCACGTTTGTCTTTCGGCAAGACATCCCAAAGCGAGCGCACATACTTACACTGAGAGGGATTTCCCCGGAAAATTCAAAAATCTTCGTCCGATCCAGTGCGATGCGGCGTGCAGCGCGGAAAGCGACATGGAGGTGGCTTCATCTTACATAATTACATCAGGATCACACAAGCGTCGAATCGACGACTATAAAAGCGGCGAGATAAAAGGATCTGCATGCAGTGCATCCTGGCAATACCGAACACAATGGCTGTTCGCGCTTTTAACCTAGTGTTCTTATTTTCACTCGTGACGGCCCTCTTAGGGTTGCCAACTGTCATTCCAGGTGAGTGATTAGACTGTTGGTAGCGTGAAACCAAGAAGATTCATCGATTGGTTTGAGGAAAAAAAAGTCCTTTAGCATTTCCTAAATAATTATGGAAAATTTTAAGTCATTAGCAAAAGAAGATTGGTAAATCGTTAGAATCATTCAAAATTCTACGTGTTTAAAAAATGGTAGAGGACTTTTCTACTTAACATAATCTGTTCTATGCGCGCACGTGCGATTTCTTCAAAATACACAGAGAGAACGATTTAGTTGAATTTAACAAATGCTTATTTGGAATAGTCGAAATAGATTTTTTGATTGATCGAACAAAATTTTGTTTGACGCAACAAAAACATTTCGTTGGAACAAGCTGCAACAAAATATTTTTGATGCGTCAAACAAAACTTCGTTCGATCGAAACAAAAAATTTATTTGGACTATTCAAAATAAGCATTTGTTAAATTCAACTAAATTGTTCTCTCTGTGTACGTGCAATACTTTGCACGTACGTTACTCTTCAGTAAATTAAACTGTCGCAATGAGTATTTTGCGACAATTCTTATCGCTCTAACAGTTCAACGCGGTTTAGTACTAAAAACAACTAGAATTTACTTACATAATATTAACATTCAGATAACTCAGAGGTCACGCGAATTTACGATATTACCATGTTTGCATTCCGTAATCTGTTGTCGATAATAATTGTTTAGCAGGAATGATATATACTTGCATTTATAATTGCACGCAACTAGCATTTATTTACATAATATTAACATCCAGATAACTTAGAGGACACGCGAATGTACAATGTTACCACCTATGCATTCCGTAATCTTTCGCCGATAATAATTGTTTAGCAGGAATGATATATACTTGGAGCAGAAATTTTTAACGTTACACAGAATTATCATTGCTCGACGGATCTCGATAGCAGTAGCCTCGCAGTTTGCGATATTTTCATTATTTCAACAACTTCATTTGTTATAATTTTAAACGTCAGAAAAATCTCGAGAAAAACTAAGCAGAGATTTCGTAGTCGTTTCGACATATAATAACGTGAGAAAGATCAAGTTTTTCTTTGAAAATAACAATGACGTGTGGATTCACACGCCGGAATAAATTTAATCGCGATTAACTTAAGATTACTACTTTGCGTTAGTTGACGTAACCTCTTCATATTTTTTCTCACATAATGATCGGCTCATTTTCATCGCATTAATAGACGAGAATCACACATTACCGACCGACTTGCAACCGCCGCCAATAGACGAGAAGGAACATCATGCAACAGTGTTCGTCCTTAATCTATACGCCGTGAAAAACGGTAGTAGCAATGAGCCGGAGGAAATGTATCAGAATGAAATTATCGAGGCTGTACCAGACATACTGGGTAAGTACAGACTGTGTGCACGACCGTAGATAGAAAGATCTTGTCCGTTATATTTTACATGAATTTCTGAACGACTCCATCATGTTCACCGGGAAAATTCTATTGAAAGTCAATTCTTTCTGAAAAACTTGAAATTGAAAATCCACGACGAACTGAAAATCACGACATAAAGCGATACATGAAATATTATATCCATCCTTCACCATATTTCTTCTTAATTAAAATTAAGAAGAGGAATATAATAAATGATAAGCGTGAATAGAGTAAAAACGAATCAGTGATTGGAGAAAAATCATATCTTCGCAGAGCCATTGGCCACCGTCCTTCTAGTGGTGGAGAACGACGAGGAGGAAAAGGAACATCTACTGGTTGACCTCGACGATTTCGCTGAGCAGTTGCAGGGCGAAGGTTACAAAGTCGATAAGATCAATCATAACGGCATGACGAAAGTGCTCAAGTTGAGATTGAGTAAAGAAGAGGCGCAGAATATGGTGGAAGCGGCTTCAAAGCCGCATGATGACATGAAACCCCGTCAAAAGAGGACCATTTGTTCCAAGTGTGGTGGTGGCGGAGGTGGAGGTGGACATTGGGGTAGGTATTACTGTTCCACCTGTGGCGGCAATTATATTTCTGGCGGTGGTGGCAGTTTTGGTGAATATGTGTAGGTTGATACGTGCAGTATCGTGGTATATGTGACTTTTATCGGATAAACAATGATCAACGATGAAGTTTCTGGTTCTGGTTCGCATTAAACTATACGAGGGAAAATGGATGACAAAATTATACAGTGACGTGATTCGCCATCGGTGTGTTCATTGAAAAAAAGAAAAAGAAAAAGACAGTTTTCAGGGAGATTTCCGAGAGATTTGCGATCGAGAGGATAACCCGGTAGCTTCGGTGCATATCTTTAATTTTCGTGCAAGTTTGCGTGTAACTGTAACGTTATGTAAGCAATCGCCTAATAATTGCGTCAGAATATCGCATGAATTGGTTGGCCAGAGTGAGTTATTTACTATATATATTTCTAAGAATCGAGATGCACATCGATGACCACGCTAATATTTTCTCAAGACTTTCCTAGTTTCAGTAAAGTGAATCACGGATGGTTCTTGATTTGATCGCATAATCTTATATCTAAAAATGACTTACACGAAAAGAATTTTTCTGGGTAATGTTGACATTCGTATGCTGAGAAAGTGCCGCGCTAGTTTAACTAGATATATACACGCTGTAAAGCTAGGAAGATATCCGAACAAACAATTATTTGATTGTTATAATATATAAATTTTGTCTTCGATATGAATATATCGCGGTTACGCGATAATATGATATATTATTCGATAAAAGTTTTCTTCGCACAGTCTTGCACAAGCATGCATATATCATTTTATAGAGAAAAAGAGAAAAAATAAAAAAACAAATACGATGATAACAATTGAATACTAATGAAACGATTTGAGGTATGATCTTATTCCATCGAGTTGCCGAATGATTTTTCGATACAAAATGATATGTAGAGACCACGACAATTGCATGTAAAGCACCTTATTTACTAATTACGGGAATGTAACATTAGTGAAACTTTATGCGTAAGAGATATACTAACAACACTGATGAAGTATTGGACAATTTTAATCGACTAATTTTAACCGAATAATTTTAATCTTGATTGAAACAATATTTTTTTACTCGCTTGGCTCTCCTCGGCAACTAATATCAGAGCGTTTTGCCAAAACTTGCGGGTCATAATACCATACTTAACGTCACACCTTAAAAGAACACTAACACTACATACGCCATTTTTTGCTGGAGCCGATCGTAACTGCGATCTATCAAGGGCACACTTTGTTCAGGCCACAAATAGGTTTTATACCAATTGCAATCCTATCTATTGAAATTGCAGGAGGCGGTGGCGGTGGTTATCCAGGCGGTGGCGGTGGTTATCCAGGCGGCGGCTGCAGCAGTTGCGGGTATGTACTTTCAACACGATACTACTCACAGAACGTGACGATGGATCGCACACGTGAACTCATGCAATCGTCTACCAATTATTGCCGAACACAATCGTTTCCATCCAGGAAACTTTAACGAGATAGGCAAAGAGAGAGATAGAGGTTTTTAATGGTAGCGCTATTTTCGTTTGCTTTAACCTCTGGAACCAGAGATTTGCCTGCTGGTTTGTTCGCGCATGAAAATTGCGTTCTATCCGGAATCTTAGCGAATTCAATTTAGTATTTTCATTTATATTCAAACAACCCTTAAAATATCCGCCAATATATACATGGTTGAGCCATCGTCGACGTACTTTATATTACAGTTACGTTCAAATTCTCATTAATCATGACTTTGTTGCTTTCCCAATGAATCAGTGGCGGTGGCGGCGGCGGCGGCGGCAGCGGCAGCTATTCCCAGTCCTCAGCTTCGGCGCAATCTTCCTCCGGCAGTTGGTGAGTACCGAAACTGCAGTACCGAAACTGCTGAACAATTAATTTCGGAAGCTATCGAACGCTCGCGACAGATTAATACGTCACTTTCTTTTACAGGGGAAAGGGAAGGAAATGAGCAGGAAAAGTACGCGTATCCACGTGAACATGTTGCCATCATATATGATTATTACTCGCGACTTTTTTATCGCGGGTGTCATCATTTAGGTGTCATTTTGGATAATACCCCACCAGTGTCTACAATTTTGAGTATGAATAATCATGAGCAATCGTTCCAAGCATTAACTATTTTAATGATCAAGAAATATGTTATGTAACTGTTTGTTTTCCAACTAATTACAATAATACTGGGATTTAAGCAGCAATTTACGGATTATAATAAAGCTAATCGTCTACTTGCTTCATTCGCATATCATCAAGATAGGAGTGACGACAGTAACTAATCATCGATAGATACGGCAGAGTAATACATACCCTTTCATAAATTTAATTTCCCAAAACAATGTTGCGCTTACAAACATCTTTACGATCGCAGAGCGTGCAATAAATAATGATTTGAAATGTTTGTTTCAACAAATAAAAATACACGATAAAGCTTCTCAATAAATGAATAATGCACAAAATTTTCTCTGTGTAGCCGTTTATATCTAGATTTCAGTAATTCCTTAAAAAACAGAAAGACGTTATCACCACTATAATTATATATTTCCGACGTTTTCATATTCTCCAAGAAAAGCACCGAGAAGATAACGTGCAACGTGAAAAACCGTGTAGAGGTGGCTTCGCGTTATATAATTACGTTAGTAACACACACACATCGAGTCGCTGACTATTTAAGGCGTGAGGTAAAAGAATCGATATCCAGTGCACCCTGACAACACTGAACAGCTTCAAAATAGCCGTTTATATTGTTACCGTAATGCTCCTATTTTCATTCGTAACAGTCCTCTCAAGGCTGCCACATATTATTTCAGGTAAGTGGTTATTCTGTTCGTAGTATGAAACCAAAAAGACACCGTGAAGAAGATATAGTGAAAAGTTGTTGCAATCGTATTTCATAAAATTCTCTCTGTTCGTGTTATACCTTGTTTTCATGGTAAAAGATATTGCTTTTTTCACCGACTGGTTTAAGAAAAAACAACTTTAGTTCATTCAATTTATTTTGACCTCCTCACCTTAATTATAGATGAGCTAATAATTTGATCATTAAAAATTAAAAATGCGTTAAAAATGCGACGTATATGTGTCGATAAAAAAAATTATAAATTCCCCAGACAGAAAACTATTCAATTACATGGACAACGTTTTACATTGAATTTATACCGCGAACAATTTGTAATTTGCAAAGAGAACTGTAATGGAAATATATTATAACGTCTAGTAGTTGATTTTTTCTGATTTTCGACAATTTTTAATCTTTATTTAAAAGTCAAGAACAAAATTAATGAATGAAACATTGTCCGTTGTTATCGATGTCCTTATGGGCTTATGCCATTCATTGGGCAGTTGCCGAATCCTATCATGGTAGAAACTTGGTAGCTTTGAGGTTATAAAGTCAAATGAAATCGAAGTCATAATAAAATTTCGTATATCGTCAACTGACGAAAAATGTGTATCAGAATATGCGTAACCCGTGTGAAGCTGGCCCCCCAATATTAAAAAATCGAATTTTTGCTTTTTGCATTCGTTTACTCATCGTTTGCTCACGAATGCCTCTTTGGAATTTTCGTTTATCCCCTCTTAGTTCAAAAGTTATACGCAATTTAACTTTTTCCTACCTCTGGAGCATATACAGAGTGTTTCGACTTACGATATAATTCTGGAATTCCTTTAGATTAGGTCATTTTGGACCAAAAAGTCCATTTTGCAAACAACCACGCAAAATTTTAAATTATTAATTATTGAAAATGGCCATATTTAGAGACTTTTTTAATTAATGACTTGAAAATTTGTGTATTTATTTACAAAATGATAAAAGACTTTTTTGTTCAGAATGATCTAATCTACAATTATATTACGGCTATTTTGTCTAGCGACAGGTTCAAGATTCAAGGTTCACAATTCAATATATTGATATCTATCGCTGGACATAATAGCCATAATATAATTGTAGATTAAATCAGTCTGAACAAAATAGCCCTTTATTATTTTGCAAATAAATATGCAAAGTTTCAAGTTGTTAATTAAGAAAGTCTCTAAATAGGGCCATTTTCAATAATTTATAATTTAAAATTTTGCGTGGTTGTTTGCAAAATGGTAAACTTTTTGGTCCAAAATGACCTATTCTAAAGGAATGCCAGAGTTATATCAAGTCGAAACACCCTATATGTTGCACTTACGAAAAAAAATAATAAATTTTAAACAGATAGTTCTATCGACTTCTATCTTAGCTTGTTTTAAAGAAGAAGGTTCATGCTACATGTAAAAAAATCGCACACTTTGATATGTAATGTTGTCTAGAACACATAGTTTTGTAAATTTTACGAAAAATCAAACTTTTAGGTAGTGAAGAATAACTATATATTATGTCCAAAAATCAGTGATTTGATGCAAATTATCTTAAACTTTTGGCTATTTTCCACGGTTTACGTTGGTTTGCTTTTCATTTGCGCAATTGTGATCTTCTCTTATGCATCGACAATTCTACCGCTCTATCTTACATTCATTGCATGGGCTCGATTTCATTTCCACATTTGTCTGCCGTGGCTCGTCAGGTTTGGTCTCGGTATGCGAATCGCGATTTATTTCTCTACGCCGCGTACGTTCCTTCGACGCAGAACGTGGAGACAGATGCTCAATCCCATATCGTTTCTACCGAAACTGAGTGGTCTCTTTCATGCGACTATTTTCATCGCATCGAATCGGGATTTGACCCTTTTGACATCGACTTATTTGCTTCCTCAATCTATACTAAATGTCCTTGTTTCGTTTCCTGGCTTCCCGATCCATTAGCACACTCCATAGACGCATTTTCCCTCGATTGGAGTAAATTTTATTTCTTCGCTTTCCCTCCGTTTATTTTGATTTTGCGAGTCCTTCGCAAAATTATCTCTGACAAGGCGGAAAGGGTGTTGGTAGTTCCTTGATGGCCTACACAACCCTAGTTTCCTTTATTTAATCAGCTTCTCATCGGTCAGCTTCTTCATTTTAGTTCTAATATTAGCATGTTATCCTCCCCTTTCAACGAGTTTCATCCAGCATAGTCTTACCTTTCCCTGGCGGTCGCGAGGTTATCCGCCAAGCATTCCTGAAGAAGAGAACACCGGTTTCAGCAGTTGACATCATGCTCGCATCACTCACACCTTCCACCTTTTCCCAGTACTCTAGAGTCTAGACCACTGAAGCTCTGGTGGCAGTTTTTTCAACAGAACCGTGAGGATAGTTTTTCTCCGTCTACTGTTTCCGTTTTGGATTTCTTGTCTTCGTGTCTTGCGAATACAGGATCCTACTCATCGTTAAACATTTACCATTCTGCAATCTCTCTTATTTCTTCCGCCGATATTGGATCCCATCTCTTAATTAAGCATTTTTTTAAGGATGTGGCCGCCTTAAAACCATCGCGTCCACGTTATGATTTTACTTGGGATCCATCTCCTATTATTGTTTACCTAGCTGGGTTGTATCCATATTCTACTTTATCTCTTGAACTTATATCTAAGAAATTAGTTACTCTTTTCGCCTTTACAACTGCTCAACACATGCAGACTCTCACCGCCATTCAGCGTTCAAATATTGTTATCACGGATTCTCTAATCATTCGCATCCCTACTCGTCTTAAAACTTCAGGGATCGGACGCGCTCAGCCCATGCTCGTTTTTAAACCTTTCTTAGAAAAGCCGGAACTCTGTCTTTTTTCTCTTATAAAAGGTGTCCCAAAATTCACGCAAGAAGTAATTTTGATAGAAAACACAGGTTTATAATTAAAAATTGTAAATTTTTTATTGATTCATAAAGTATATAGTATAGGGTTTGGTATGGAATAACATATCGGGTAAATGGCCTCCACGGCTTTGCTGGCACAAATGCACTCTTTTGTTGAAATTTTCCATGACCGTTTTGCATAAATGTGGCTGAATTTCGTTGATACAGCGCTCAATTTCCTCCTTCAAGGCGTAGATGGTCATGGGCTTGTTGGCATAAACCTTAGACTTCAAAAACCTCCCGAAAAAAAGCTCAACGGCGTTAAATCGCATGATCTGGGCGGCCAAATCTGATCACCAAAACGGGAAATTACACGACCAGGAAATGACTCATGCAGTAATTGAATTGTTTCTCGGGCTGTATGGCATGTGGCATCGTCTTGTTGAAACCACATGTCGTCCACATCCATATCTTGCAATTTAGACACAAAAAACTGGATTATCATCGCGATAGCGAGCACCATTAACTGTTATTGCCTGACCAGCCGCATTTTCGAAGAAGAATGGTCCGATGATGCCTCCAGCCCAAAATCCGCACCAAACAGTGACACGTTGTGGATGCATTTGTTTCTCAACAATCACTCGCGGATTTTCTGAACCCCAAATGCGACAATTTTGCCGATTAACCAAGCCATCAAGATGAAAATGAGCTTCATCGCTGAAGATGATTTTGTTCGAAAAATCAGCATCCACTTGTTGTTGTTCCATAACCCATTCAACGAACTTTCCACGCTGTGCATGGTCAGTTTAAAAACTCTAAACTGTCAGCTGTCACGCTGTCTTTTTTTTTCGTTGGCAACACTTTACCGCACAAATGGCACAAAATTCAAATCTTGCGTGAATTTTGGGACACCCTTTACATCTTTATCTGGAGCGTACCGCGGACCTTCGTCGCCTTAATTGTGACGCGTTTTTTATTTCATATTGTAAACCTTATTTCTCGGTCTCTTCTCAGACAATAGATCGGTGGGTTAAATCCGTACTGGAAGCCAGGACGTCAGGTATAGACGTTTCAATTTTTTCTGCGCATTCTACTTGCCATGCCTCTACTTCGCTTGCCGCCAGCAGAGGCATTAATATAAACAAGATTCGTCGTACTGCCGGTTGGAGTAAATCCTCCGATGTTTTTGCTCGTTTTTATAATAGACCAGTTGTTTCGGATTCTATTTTCCAATCTACCATTCTTACTATGTAAAGTCTCAATTGTATAACTCTTAACATTCTCAACACAGTCTTCTTGTCTATCTTTACTGTACTCTTCTGCCAAATCTGTGGGTTAAACATCTACATATATCCATCCGGACGAGAACTTGCTTAATTAGGAAATTGAACGAACTTACGGTAAAGTTCAGTTGTAATTATACTTTCTCGCCCGGATGGACACTCCCACCCTTCCATTCCCTTTACCAGATTTGGCATTGTTTAAATAATGGCGCAAGCGCGAGCAGCGACGTTGTTGACGGAGTAGCCAAGGCGAGATGCACGCTTGTTAGACGACAAGATGCGTTTATTCTTTGCCTTTTAAATATCCTGTTAGGGAAGCGCGACGAAGCGCGACTACATATATTCATCCAGACGAAAAAGCATAAATTACAATCGAACTTCACCGTAAGTTCGTTCAATTTCCTAATTATATCATCGACATATGACTGTTTAATTGATTGGCAACAACGCTGTGCCAGAGAATTATTATCTAGTTTCGGAAAATATATTGATAGGTGCATTACAAATATTGATAACTCTGAAGAAAACGAAGGAGGGGATACAACATTGGCGGGGGAAATTTGCCTGTATTAAAAGGAGCTCCTGCATATTGTTTCATCAGTCGCTTTGTAAACACAAGGTTCGGCAGTAGCTTCCACATACAGTAAAGCCAAAATGTACAGTGTCGAAGTGAACGCTAAATAAGCAAATTATTACATGCCTGTTCAACATGAGGATGACCTCGCGTGGGAACAAAAGTACGACGAATGCATCGAGGCTCCACCATGCAAGAGAAAACGTGAGAAGTGAGTATCAATGTGAATTTGGTACTTTGTGTGCACTTTCCCGGTTGAATTCTTAAATGTATACATTTATTATATTTTTATAGCATTCCTGAGCCACGTCATGCTACTCGTATCCTGGTCGCAGATACGCTTTGACGTCACATAAGTATTTGGAGATTGGAATCACTGTACAATCTATGGAAATAGTCCTCGGTAATAATCGCGGTAATCAACTAATATTACATACAAAAACTTGGAGAAAACGGATGGGAAATCATGTTGTTATATAATGACTTCTGGAAACGAACAAGCCATAGTACTTTCCGCTACGGATTCGAGATTTAATAGTGGAATTGTGTAAGATAAATGATTCAAAAATTGTAAAATTAACGCTGTCTCCTAAGTGTTTGTATTTGAAACCTGCTATCACGAACATGTCATTTACTTATGAACATTGTATTAATCATATGTATATGTGGTTGTCCGAAAATACGCATCTCGTTAGTTCAAAATTTCAAACTTTTGTAAATATTCTTCGAGAGAAAAATATTACCGAAATGTGTTATGTGGTAAAAGCGATACGTGAAAGCGCCGGCTTTGACTGTGAGTCACTTGTTGATTGTGAGCTGTTGGCATGCGCTTTGAAAAATATCATGTATTACGAAGTTGTGAACAAATAAAATGTTTATTCTGAGAAATAATTTATTTTGTTATATGATATATGTATTTTTTTTACTTTAGACCACATCCTTTCTTCGACAAAAATATACCAACTACTGTATAGGTTCAAACCTTAGATTGTGTAGGTCGAGCCTCTTTGACTGGAACTGCATGCATGATAGATAATGGGTTGAGCTGATAATGAACTTTTTAATATTTTAATTAAATGTATTAATTAACTTTTTAAAATTAATATAACATCTCTCGGCATATTTTTCTCTGTACATATGCATGACGTCATCATACACACGTTGGAAACCTTAACTAGATATCTACTATCAATAGGCGACGGTGATTTAGGAGGTTGGAGCGTTGTATACTAGCCACGAGGGCTTAAGTTCGAGTCAAGCAACATCCCGGCATGTATTTTTTTCTCTGACGTATGCGTGACGTCGCCTTTCGACATATACGTGACGTGCATACCATTTTTCTTTATCTGATATAACAATAGGTTTGGTATCAGCCTACGATTTGGTATCAGCAGTCTAACGCCGATGATTGACAAGAATGTTTTTTCGTCAAAATGTGATATTGTAGTACCCAGTGTCATTACATTGCAGTATTTAAAAATTGTAATAAAAAGTATAACTGACATATGCGTGACGTCGCAGCATTCACCTTGCTAGCGTGACGTCATACCCCACTCTGAGTTCCCCTTCCCCGTGCGACGTCATACGCCCTGGGTTCCCCGCTTCCCCGCGTCCCCCTCAGCACTCCTAAGTTAGAACCGGCCTAGCTATTCTACTGCTATAAAGATGTTTTCTCTCCTTTTTTCTTTTTTCCTTTACGCGCGCGCGCGTGCACGCGAACGTGCACTCTGGAAATTATGTACGAAGAAATTATTGGTCACATCGAGTACTTGTTTCCTGTGTGTGCGCGCACGGTATTCCCCCTTTCAAATAGTCGAGTCTCCGCGGTTTAAAGACGGACTCAGCCGAACACATTTTTCACGTTTGCTCAAAAGCCTGCCGGTCGATGTTTTTAATGAGACCGTAGTGAGGAACGCAGTGCTAAAAATAAAATTGCGACGATGTTACGCAGTGTCCGAGCAACTTTGCTGCTCGCATCTTCACGAGAGAAGACACTGCGTTTAAGAAATTTTGCGAGATCATCGCGGTGTCAACTTATTCATGTTTTACATCTTGAATATCTTCGATATCATTTATACGCATGAGCATGATTAACGCTGGTAAACCATAAGATATTTGCGCATGAAGATTTCGCGCCGCGCTTCTTCTCTCTTTTTCACTATCGAGTCACGAAGTCTGTCTCGTTCCCTTCCATATAATTTTACTTCGCGTTTACTACGAACTCGTACTCATTATTCCAATTGCACGTTTGTCTTTCGGCGAGACGTCCCAAGACACATGTTTATAGCGAAGGGGATTCCCCCGGAAAATTCAAAAATCTGCGTCCGATCCAGCGCAATGCGGCATGCAGCGCGGAAAGCGGCATGGAGGTGGCTTCATCTTACATAATTACATCAGGATCGCACACACGTCGAATCGATGACTATAAAAGCACCGAGATAAGAGGATCTGCATGCAGTACATCCTGGCAATACCGAACACGATGGCTGTTCGCGCTTTTAACCTAGTGTTCTTATTTTCATTCGTGACGGCCCTCTTAGGGTTGCCAACTGTCATTCCAGGTAAGTTATTAGACTATTAGTAGCGTGAAACCAAGAAGATTCATCGATTGGTTTAAGGAAAAAAAGTCCTTTAGCATTTCCTAAATAATTATGGAAAATTTTAAGTCATTAGCAAAAGAAGATTGGTAAATCGTCATAATCATTCGAAACTCTGCATGTTTCAAAAATGGTAGAGGACTTTTCTATTTAACGTAATCTGTTCTATCCGCGCAAGTGCGACTTCTTCAAAATACGTGCAATACCTTGCACGTGTGTTACTCTTCAGTAAATTAAACTGTCACTGAATATTTTGCGACAATTCTTGTCGCTCTAACAGTTCAACGCGGTTTAGTACTAAAAACAACTAGCATTTATTTACATAATATTAACATTCAGATAACTCAGAGGTCACGCAAATTTAAGGTGTTACCACGTGTGCATTCCGTAATCTTTTGTCGATAATAATTGTTTAACGGGAATGATATATACTTGCATTTATACTTGCGTGCAGCTAGCATTTATTTACATAATATTAACATTCAGATAACTCAGAGGACACGCGAATTTACAATGATGATATATACTTGGAGCAGAAATTTTTAACGTTTCACAGAATTACCATTGCTCGACGGATCTCGATAGTAATAGCTTCGCACTTTGCGATATTTTCATTATTTCAACAACTCCATTCGTTATAATTTTAAACGTCATGTAGAAAAATTTCGAGAAAAACCAAGCAGAGATTTCGTGGCCGTTTCAACATGTATTGTATAATAACGTGAGAAAGATCAAGTTTTTCTTTGAAAATAACAGTGACGTGGATTTACGCGCCGGAATAAATTCAATCGCAATTAATTTAAAATTATTACTTCACGTTAGTTGACGTAACCTCTTCATATTTTTTCTCACATAATGACCGGCTCATTTTTATCACAGTAATAGACGAGAATCACACATTGCCGACCGACTTGCAACCGCCTCCAATAGAGAAGGAACATCATACAACAGTGTTCGTCCTTAATCTATACGCCGTAAAAAACAGTAGTAGCAATAAGCCGGAGGAAATGTTTCAGAATGAAATTATCGAGGCTGTACCAGACATACTGGGTAAGTACAGACTGTGTGCACGACCGTAGATAGAAAGATCTTGTCCGTTATATTTTATATGAATTTCTGTACGAGACTCCATCTTGTTCACTGGGATAATTCTATTGAAAGTCAATTCTTCCTAAAAAACTTGAAATTGAAAATCTACGACGAACTCAAAATCACGACATGAAGCGACACATGAAATATTATATCCATCCTTCACCGTATTTCTTCTTAATTAAAATTAAAAAGAGGAATATAATAAATGGTAAGCGTAAATAGAATAAAAACGAATCAGTGATTGGAGAAAAATCATATCTTCGCAGAGCCATTGGCCATCGTTCTTCTAGTGGTTGAGAACGATGAGGAGGAAAAAGAACATCTACTGGTTGACCTCGACGATTTCGCTGGGCAGTTGCAGGGCGAAGGTTACAAGGTCGATAAGGTCAATCATAACGGCAAGACGAAGATGCTCAAGTTGAAATTGAGTAAAGAAGAGGCGCAGAATATGGTGGAAGCGGCTTCAAAGCCGCACGATGACATGAAACCCCGTGAAAAGAGAACCATTTGTTTAAAGTGTGGTGGTGGCGGAGGAGGAGGTGGATACAGGGGTGGGTATGATATGGGTGGTTACTGTCGCACATGTGGCGGCGGTTATCCTTCTGGCGGTGGCGGCAATTATCCTCCTAGCGGTGGTGGCGGATATGGTAAGTATACGTAGATTGATACGTGCAGTATTCTAGTATATTTGACTTTTAAAATAAACAATGATCAACGATGAAGTTCCTGGTTCTCAGTGCATTAAACTATGCGATATCTCGAAAATGGTTGACAAAATTATACAGTGATGTGATTCGTGTGTTTACTGAGAAAAGAAAAAGAAAAAGACAGTCTTCAGGGTTGCCGAGAGATTTGCGATCGAGAGAATAACCCGGTAGCTTCGGGGCATGTCTTTAATATACGTGCAGGTTCTTGAGCACGTTTGCGTGTAACTGTAATGTCATGTAAGCAATCGCCTAATAATTGCGTCAGAATATCGCGTGAATTGGTTGGCGAGAGTGAGTTGTTTACTATATATATTTCTAAGAATCGAGATGCACACCGATGACCGCGCTAATATTTTCTCAAGACTTTCCTAGTTTCAGTAAAGTGAATCACGGATGATTCTTGATTCTCGCATAATCTTATATCTAGAAATGACTTACACCAAAAGAATTTAATGACTTACACGAAAAGAATTTTTCTGGGAAATGTTGACATTCGTATGCTGAGAAAGTGTTGCACTAGTTTAACTGGATATATTCACGCTATAAAGCTAGGAAGATATCCGAACAAACAATTATTTGATTGTTATAATATATAAATTTGGTCTTCGATATGAATATGTCGCGATTGCGCGACAATATGATATATTATGTGATAAAAGTTTTCTTCGCTCACTCTTGCACAATCATGCATATATCATTTTATAGAGAAAAAGAGAAGAAAAAGAAAAACAAATACGATGATAACAATTGAATACTAATGAAACGATTTGAGGTATGATCTTATTCCATCGAGTTGCCGAATGATTTTTCGATACAAAATGATGTGTAGAAACCACGACAATTGCATGTAAAGTACCTTACTTGCTAATTACGGAAATGTAACATTGGTGAAACTTTACACGTAAGAGAGATACTAACAACACTGATAAAATACTGGACAATTTTAATGAGCTAATTTTAACCGAATAATTTTAATTTTGATTGAAACAATAACACAAATTTTTTTACTCGCTTGGCTCTCCTCGGTAACTAATGTCGGAGCGTTTTGCCAAAACTTGCAGGTCATAACACCATACTTAACGTCACACCTTAACAGGACACTAATACTATTAGGTGTATGAATTAATTCGGTCCATCTGGCGGTCAATTGCTGTACTATATAATTTTCTAACCTCTAATGTCTGCCAAAAGCTTTATTTTTTAGTTTTGATATCTGGCAATAATATTCAATTGATAAACGTTTGGGTTTGTAACAATAACATAGTGTTTATCTGATTCGAAAATGTCAAAATTCGAGCCAAAAAAGCATCATTTCCTATTCTCATTTTCTATTTTCATTTGAAGAAAACAGCCGCTGAAGCTCATCGAATGCTTGTAGAAGGTTATAGTGAAAGTACTTCCACCGATAAATCATGCAGAGAATGGTTTCGACGTGTCAAAAGGGATGATTTCAGTGTCGATGACAAACCTCGTCCAGGTCAGCCGAAGAAGTTTGAGGACGAAGAATTGCAGGCGCTAATCAATGAAGATCCATGTCAATCGCAACATAAGCTCGCACAATTGTTGAATGTTGATCGATCAACAATTTCTGTGCGTTTGACAGCCATGGGAAAGATTTACAAAGAAGGAAGATGGGTGTCATACGAAAGAATTGAAAGAAAGAGACATCGAGAGGCGAAGAACCATGTCTGAAATTTTGCTTGTCAGGCAAAAAAGAAAAAGTTTTTTGCATCATATTGTAACTGGAAACGAAAAGTGGATATATTTCGAAAATCCCAAACGAAGGAAATCCATTAGCGATCCAAGAAAACCATCCACATCGATACCAAAGCGGAATATTCACGGCAAGAGAGTAATGTTCTGTATATAGTGGAACCAGAAGGGTATAGTGTATCATGAACTATTAAAATAGAGCCGAACCATCATTGCCGAACTCTACTAACAACAATTGATCCGTTTAAACAACGTATTGAAGAATAAGCGGCCGGAATATGCAAACAGACAAAGTGATCTTCCAGCACGATAACGCTCGGTCACATGTTGAAAAGATTGTAAAGGCCACCTTGGAAGCACTTGGCTGAGACATTTTACCTCACCCGCTATATTCACCAGACATTGCTCCATCTGATTATCACTTGTTCAGATGGATGGAACACGGGCTTTCGGACCAGCATTTCAACAATTATGAAGAAATAGAGAAATGGCTCAATAAATGGATCGCTTCGAAGGACGAGTCGTTTTCCCGTCACGAAATGCAACAACTGCCAGACAGATGGGAAAAAATAATAGCAAGCGATGGCAAATACTTTCATTAGTGTATTTTTTCATGTTTCTTCATACTAAAGTCTTCTTTGGAAGAAAAAACGGACCGAATTAATTCACACACCTAATACATACGCCATTTTTTGCTGGAGCCGATCGTAACTGCGTTCTAACAGGGACACGCTTTGTTCAGGACTACAAATACCAATTGTAATTGTACCCATTGGAACTGGACATGGACATGGACATAGAAGAGGACATGGAGGCGGTGGCGGTGGTTATCCAAGCGGTGGCGGTGGTTATCCAAGCGGTGGCGGTGGTTATCCAGGCGGCGGCTGCAACAGTTGCGGGTATGTACTTTCAACACGATACTACTCACAGAACGTGACGATGGATCGCGCACGTGAACTCATGCAATCGTCTGCCAATTATCGCCGAACACAATAGTTTCCATCCAAGAAACTTTAACGAGACAGGCAGAGAGAGAGAGAGAGAGAGAGAGAGAGAGAGAGAGGTGTTTAACGGTCGCGATACTTTCGTTTGCTTTAACCGTCTGAAACCAGAGATTTGCCTGCTGGTTTATTCGCGCATGAAAATTGCGTTTTATCCAGAATCTTAGCGAATTCAATTTAGTATTTTCATTTATATTCAAACAACTCTTAAAATATCCGCCATTATCTGCATGGTTAAGCCATCGTCGACGTACTTTATATTGTTACGTTATACTGTTACGTTCGAATTCTCATTAATCATGACATTGTTGCTTTCCCAATAAACCAGCGGCGGCGGCGGCGGTTACGGCGGCGGCGGCGGCGGCAGCTATTCCCAGTCCTCTGCGCAGGCTTCGGCGCAATCTTCCTCCAGCGGTTGGTGAGTACCAAAACTGCAGTACCGAAACTGCAGAAGATTAATTTTGTACGCTATCGAACGCTCGCAACAAATTAATACGTCACTTTCTCTTCCAGGGGAGGGAAATGAGCGAGAGAAGCACGCGTAACCACGTGAACATGTTGCCATCATATATGATTATTACTCGCAACTTTTTTATCGCGGGTATTTAAGTGTCATTTTGGATAATACTCCACTAGTGTCTACAATTTTGAGTATGAATAATCAGGAGCAACCGTTTCATGCATTAACTATTTTAATGATGAAAAAATATGTTATGTAACTTGTTTTTCAACTAATTACAATAATATTGGGATTTAAGCAGCAATTTATTATAGTAAAGGATTATAGTAAAGCTAATCGTCTATTTGCTTCATTCGCATATCATCAAGATGTAGTGACGACAGTAATTAATCATCGATAGATTCGGAAGATTAATACATACCCTTTCATAGATTTAATTTCCCAGAACAATGTTGCGCTTACAAATATCTTTACGATCGCAGAGCGTGCAATAAATAATGGTTTGAAATGTTTGTTTCAAGAAATAAAAATACACGATAAGACTTATCAATAAATGAATAATGCATAAAGTTTTTTCGGTGTAGCCGTTTACTAGATTTTAGTAATTCCTTAAAAAACAGAGAGATGTTATTACCACTGTAATTATATATTACCGACGTTTTTTTATTCTCTAAGAAAAGCACCGAGAAGATAACGTGCAACGTGAGAAACCGTGTGGCGATGGCTTCGCGTTATATAATTACGTTAGTATCACACGTGTATCGAGTCACTGACTATTTAAAGAATGAAGTAAAATAATCGGTATCCAGTGCATTCTGACAACACTGAACAGCCTCAAAATGGTTGTTTATGCTGTTACCGTAGTGCTCCTATTTTCATTCCTAACAGTCCTCTCAGGACTGCCACATATTATTTCAGGTAAGTGGTTATTCTGTTCGTAGTATGAAACCAAAAAGATACCGTGATGAAGATATAGTGAAAAGTAGTTGCAATTGTATTTCATAAAATTCTCTCTGTACGTATTACACCTTATTTTCATAGTAAAAGCTATTGCTTTTTTCACCGACTGGTTTAAGAAAAAACAACTTTAGTACATTAAATCTATTTTGATTTCTGCACCTTAATTATAGATGAGCTAATAACACAGCCCCACAAAAAAAAAAGTCGTTGCCTAAAACCGGACAAATATATTCTTATGTATTTTGTTCCGCTGAATCCGAATCCGAGGTCAGAACCTCAATAGACAAAATCCAATAATATTTTGCGATAACTCTTATCATTAATCATGACTTTGTTACTTTCCCAATGAAGCGGCGGTGGCAGCGGTGGCAACTATGCACAGTCCTCTGTTACGATGCAAGCTTCCTGCGGCAGTTAGTGAGTACCGAAACCGCTGAACTGAATTAATTAATTTCGGACACTATCAGACGCTCACGGCAGATTAATACGTCAATTTCTTTTTCAGGGGAAATGAGCGCGAAAAGTGCGCGTAACCACGTGAACATGTTGCCATCGTATACGATTATTACTCATGATTTTTTGTCGCGGGTATTTAAGTACGCTGTTATTTTGGATAATATCCGATTAGGGCTTATAATTTTTAGTGTGGATAATCATGAGCAATCATTTCATGCATTAACTATTTTAATGATAAAAACATGTTGCGTAACTTGTTCGTAACTTTTTCGACTAATTACGATAATACTGGCATTTAAATAGCATCTGACGGATTATACTAAAGCTAATCGGCTATTAGTTTCACTCGCATATCATCAAAACCTAGCGACGACAGTAATTAACCATCAATAGATTCGGGAAAGTAATACATATCCTTTCATAAATTTGATTTCCCAGGACAATGTTGCTCTTACAAACATCTTTACGATCGCAGAGCGTGCAATAAATAATGGTTTGAAATGTTTGTTTCAACAAATAAAAATACACGATAAGCCTTATCAATAAATGAATAATGCATAAAGTTTTCTCGGTGTAGCCATTTATTACTAGATTTTAGTAATTCTATAAAAAACAGAAAGACGTTATCACCACTGTAATTATATATTCCCGACGTTTTTTATTCTTCAAAAAATGCACCTAGAAGATAACGTGCAACGTGGAATATCGTATGGAGGTAGCTTCGCGTTATATAATTCGCGCACAGAGACACTGACTATTCAAAGAGTGAGGTAAAAGGACCGCTAACCAGTGCATCCTGACTATTCTTGAACACCGAACAACCCCACAATGGCCATTTCCGTTGTTAACGTAGTGCTCCTGTTTTCATTCATGACGGTCCTCTCAGGGCTGCCACTTACTGCAAGTAAGTAACTATTCGTAGTATGAAACCAAGGAAACACCGCAAAGAAAATATGGTGGAAAGTTGTTGCAATCGTATTTCGTAAAATTCTTTCCGTACATTATATCTCATTTTCATGGTAAAAGATATTGTTTCTTTCACCGACCGGTTTAAGAAAAAATAACTTTAGGTCGTTAAATCAATTTTAATCTCTTTATCTTGATTATAGGTGAGCTAGTAATTTAATCGTCATTATAAATTCGACGTATATGTATCTATATAAAAAGAAAATTTCTCACACAAAAAACTACTGCATTGTATGGACAAAGCTTTTGCATTGAATTACCGCAAACAATTTGTAATTTTCAAAGAGAACTATGATGGAAATATATCATAAGATGTAGTAGTTAATTCATTCCGATTTTCGACCATTTTCAGTTTTCATTCAAAAGTCAATAAAATGAGATTAATCAATGAAATATTCTCCATTGTTATCGATGTCCTTACGCCATTGACTGGGCAATTGCCGAATCCTACAACGATAGAAGCTTTGAGTCTATAAAGTCATAAAATGAAAATCATAATGAAATTTCATATGTCGTCAACTGTCGAAAAATATGTATCAGAGAGTGCGTTCCTTTATTTACTGCAAGTACTGACGTTATGACGTTATGAAAGCTACTACTAGTAGCATTCCGTTTTAACTTTGAGAGCTGTCGAAGTGTTGCAACGTTACAAATCGGAACGTACCGCAGTACGCTTCGTGAAGCTTGTGTTTATGGTTTGTTACCAGTGCATCTGTTTACAAACATAGATGAAATCTCAAATACCAATGTAACTATAATCGCATTAATTGCAACTATAATAAAACAAAACACAGATGAGGAATAGAGCGAAAGCAATTTAGACATAGAAATAGTATAACAGCTAGTTGCACAATCTCGGATACCATAAGTAAAATCCAAAAATTATGTGAAAAATATTATATTAGCATATTCTAGTGTGAAATTTAAAATGCATTTTCGGTAAATTATTAAGCACAAAGTTAAAAACTTAATCGTATACTAAGAAAAAGTACAACCATATTTCTTGTATTAATTCATATTTATAATATGGCCTACTGAATTGTCTTTTGAACTGTGTATTTGAAGAGTGTATTTGTATTAATAATTTAATACATATTAAATTTTTACAACTATTGTGTACTTTTTGTTAATCTCCCTAGCCTCAATCAAGTTTAAATCTATGTAAGCAGCCATTTTGTACAGTGGCTGCTTTACCTCGCTAGCTACAGTAGCAAAAAATGACACCGAAATTAATGACGTCATGCACTTATAGAAGCGCTTTCGCAGTGTACTACAACTCATATCGGAACACTATTGGTAATGCTGACAGTATCCGCAGTAAATAAAGGAACGCGCCCAGAGTGTGTGGGTGTTGCACCGACCGGAAATGAAAATCTAATTTAGCTAGGTCTGAAGAATGCGTTGCGTGTGGGAGAACTTCCCAGCCCAAATGTAAAATGATTTCCTTTGTGGTTTCTCCTATATGAGATTTAGCATTGTCATATAACAGAATGACTTTACGGCTGTCTTGTCTATAAGTGATCTTTTTTCTCAATTGCATTGCTCAAACATATTAATTTTTCTCGGCAAATCTTTGCTTTAATAGTTTGACGCGGTTCTAAGAGCTTGTAGTTCAACACGTTCTTCTGATCCCACCATGTACATAGAACTTTTTTTCCGAAACGTTTGGGTTTCGCTGTTGACGTTGTCGATTGACCAGGATCTACTCATGATTTTTTGAGTTTAAGATTTTCATACGTAATCTATTTTTCATCACTAATGTTGATTTTGTGCTAAAATCTTTTTTCGTTGTCTAGTGAACAAGGTAACACCACATATGGTCAATCGGCGATTTTTGTTGTCAATGATTAACTCGTATTGCACCTATTTTTCTTCTTTCTGTATCTTTTCCATAGGATGTAAACGATACCAAAGAGCTTTTTGGCTTACTCCCTATTTTTCCGCAAGTTCTTGTTCTTTTTGTGCCGTAGTTTTATTCAATAAATTTTGTAACTCCTCGTCTTTAAATTTTTTGGCTGACCGGCACGTGGTTGGTCATGAACATTAAAATCATCACTTCGATAACGTTCAAATCAGTTTCGGCAGTTTCGGTTCAAATCAGTTTGCGATCGGTTGCACTGTTACAGCATTTTCAGCGTAAGCATCACGAATCATTTTCGCTGCTTCGAAAGCGTTTTTATTTAAATGAAATGCGGGATGCATTGCATATCGAATATGCCCTTTGATGATTCTCGTGAACACTATTGATTATTTGAAATTATATGCGTCAAACGCCAAATCATATATCATTTCGAAAAGTTAACTGTCAACACCTCAAAACCGCAAAAGAGCTGGAGAATATTTCAATTTTATATATTGCTCTGAGCTATGTTCATAACTTCTTCGGAAACAATTAACTATTATAGCTAATAATAATAATAGTGACATTGCAAAATAACCAAAGTTGCTGATACAAGTTATTTGAAGAAATGCGACTCATCGCTCGTGTGTAAATAAGACGAATTAAATTAAATAAAAACGTCTTTTACTATTTTTTAAAAAACCATGTAAATGTCGATGTTATCAACAAAAGAAGATCAATAAATCATGATAATAATTCGAAATCTTACATGATTGTTTCAAAAATGATAAAAAAGTTTTTTTACTTAATTTAGTCTGTTTTGCCTACATACAAGCGACTTCTACAGATACCTTGTGTATAATATCCTTCAGTAAATTAAATCGTCGTCAGTGAATATTTTGCGATAACTCTTATCGCATTACCATTTCAACGTAGTTGAGTACTAAAAACGACTAGCATTTATTTACATAATATTAACATTCAGATGACTCAGAAGACACGTGAATTTATAGTATTACCACATATGCATTCCGTAATCTCTCGTCGATAATAATTGGTTAGCAGAAATGATATATACTTGGAAGAGGAATTTTTACTGTTTCACGGAGTTATCATTGTTCGATGGATTTGTATAATAGCCTCGAAATTTGTGATATTTTCATTATCAAGAGACACAGTAGTGTCTCGCGCCAAGCGAGGCAGCGAGACCGAACCATGTATTATTACGCGAAACCTCTACTTGATCATAGGATATATTTTCGTACCGCTATAACGGCTGAACCGATTAGGTTCTGCATAAGCTCAATCGATTCCGCAGAGTCTAATTATATAAGAAAACTATCTTCATTTTTGCTCTACATGTCCTGTGAGCTTAGAAATTTATTCTCAAAGTACGAAATCGTGAAATTTACGAATCGTTCAACAAATGTCCGACTGACTTTACTTCTACTAGAGGGCGTCACGAGATCACGCGGATACAAAACGGTCTGTTAAAAGTACATCATATAAATACATATTCATAGACCATTCAATTAACGATGCACGAATCACGTCGCCTGTCGCATATTTTAAAACTCCAAACTGTGGTCCTAGTGGTTGTGTGCGTATGTATGTGTTATCAAGAGACGCGGCAGCGTCTCGCGCCAAGTGAACGCGCGAAGCGAAGCATGACGTGAGACCGACCGCGTATTACTTACACCGACCAACTAGTTCAGTGCAAACAAGATCTCTCGTTTAACTATAACATCTGAACGGATGAAGTTCTGGATGGGCTTAATCGATTCCTTAGGATTGATTTACTTAACTAAACTATCTTTATTTTCGTCCTATATGCTGAGTGAGATATTTTAGTTGAAAGTCCGAAATCGCCAAGTTTCAATCTCAAGATTTTCGTTGTACAAATGTCCAACTGAACTATTGTCCGTTAGATGGCGCCACGGATGGACAAATACCTTGAGCAGTGATGTGTAACCATAGACATATAATATATAGACCGCGCATTCGCAACGTTTCCTTTGTCTGCACATGTTCAATATTAGAAAGAGGTAGCATGCTTTCGTAGAGCAGTCTGTCTCTTTCTAACGATGCGTAGTGGGGTATTTGGCCCCTCCGCCTGTTTAGAGTGGAGTGTTATGTCTCCGGTTCTCCTTCTTTTCGTGAAACAAAGCGTATGTAAACAAGACGATTGACATTAAAGATTATAAAACGTATTTACTCATAATAATATAATCATAACACAAAAAGTATAATCGTAACACAATGAGTCTATATTGTTGTGTATGCTGCAGTAATGCATATAAAAGTGACAAACAGATTATTTTCCACCGGTATGTAATTATACCCATCGTCATATGTCCATATTCATCATTTTTCCATATGCGTGTATTTATATCAGACGTATTTTCTTCTCTTTGCCTTTCACAATTCTCCTTTCTCTATATTCTCCTATTTCTGTTTCCCCTGTCATGGAAGGCTGCTTTACCCCCACCACGCGTCGTTAGAAAGTGATAGATTGCCCAACGAAAGCATGTTGTCTCTTTCGAATATAGAACGCCCCCTCCGCTGAACGCGCGGTATATTTATTATACGTCTATGTGTGTAACGCTGCCGGTGCGTTCGTAAGTGCGTCATGTTCTTTTCGTGTTCGTTCGTAGAGATGGACCTTTAGGGCCGGTTTTTCCTACTCATCGGTTAATACTAACAGTTAAATCATACATTTGTATTTGTTTTTCCTTCGAAATAGATAAAGACAGACATATAATTTATATAATTTAACTGTTAGTTAATTTTACCAAGAGGTTGGAAAAACCGGCAGTAATAATCGACTGTGATTGATTAATTTCTTAAAGCTTAATTCTTAGGTCGGTATTCATAGTCGAGTCTTATATTTAAAATCGTCTTAAGTTCACTTTCAGATATCCCGTACGCAATGAAGTAATTTGTACAGCATCTGAAAATAAACTTAAGATGATCTGAAATATAAGATCCGACTATGAATACCGGCCTTAGAACTCTATTGTAGACTAGGGCTTAGAACGACTTTAAAAATTTCATGTGATTAGTTGCAAAATATTAGTCTTCATGTAAATTAATAATCATATCACTTATTTATCTATACAAAATGCACTACCATATTATGTATATGTTTAAAAAGGAAACAATATAAAAGCGTTATTTGTAGGAAGTAAATTAATTTTTAGATAAGCGTTATTGAGATTTCTGATCAACGAGTATTTATGAAAATACGTGAAATTGTAATACAATATTTATTTTTATCAATCTTACGTCAAATCTAAGTATATAATAAGCATATAACATGTTTTTTGGTGAAAAAGATGTGATATTCTAACAAACCTACCTTTTCGCTAAAGAAATAAAAAAGCGCCAAGTTCAGGCATTCCCATTCATTCCCGTTCTCCATTCCATTTACTAATATTATAACTAACTAGCTAATATTATAATTGTAAATATACAAAAGCAAATGTTTCTAAAATATATTTTTTTATATGATAACAAATCTAAAAACGTTAACATGAAATATTATTATCCAAATTTTTATTTGTTATAAAAAAAGATATTAGATAGTTTTACCAAGTAAAAATAAAACTAAATCAAATTATATCATTTTATTTGTATTTTCTACAAAAATAATGATATCACAAAATTCACGCCAAGTATTGTTACAAATTATTTTCTTCATTATATTCTGTTATTGTTACCTTAACCAAATAAAATAAAAATATTAAAATAAAATATAGTTATTTAAATTTATATTTCCCACAAAAGACATAGAAGATATAAAAAATTAGGTAGAGTGTCAATAATTTCTGCAAAAATAAATATACATTAAAATATTGCATCAATTAAAAACGTAAAATAAATAACACATTATAAACAATGTTTTATATACAAAATTTTTATATATAAAACATTGTTTATAATATGTTATTTATTTTACATTTTTAATTGATGCAGTATTTTAATGTATATTTATTTTTGCAGAAATTATTGACACTACCTAATTTTCTATATGTCTTTTGTGGGAAATGTAAGTTTAAATAACTATATTTTATTTTAATATTTTAATTTTATTTGGTTAAAGTAACAATAACAAAATATAATGAAGAAAATAATAATTTGTAACAATACTTGACGTAAATTTTGTGATATCATTATTTTTGTAGAAAATACAAATAAAATAATATAATTTGATTTTGTTTTATTTTATTTGGTTAAACTATTTAATATCTTTTTTTATATTAGGTGTATAAATGAATAATTTAAATTATTTTAATCAATTATGAAATCAATTTTAAATTGAATAGATTTTCCCGCTCTTTTGTGATTATGCAATGTTGACATATAGCTTTATTAAAAACATAGTTTGGCGAAAGGCCCAACATAACCTTCAAAAGTATTCAGTTCAGTACAGTTGAAAATGGCAACAGATAAGGTGCATATCCGACACTGCATTCTTTACGAATTCCAACAAGGAAAAAATGCTGCAAGAGCGTGCGAATCGATTTGTTTCTTTCTCGGCAAAGGTGTTGTATCGTACGATGTGTGCGCATTTTGGTTTAAGCGGTTTAAAAACGGTAATTTCAGTCTAATCGAAAAACAACACCCTAGAGGCCCTTCGAAATACGATAATGATGATTTGGAATAACTGCTCGCTGAGAATTCGGCACAAACACAAAAAGAGCTTGCAGAACAGTTGAGAGTAACGCAGCAAACGATTTCCAAACGCCTACATTAGATGGGAAAGATCCAGAAAGAAGGAAAATGGGTTCCGCATGAACTCACTGAAACCAACAAAAATCAACGAGTGGCAGCGTGCCTTTCTCTTCTCAATAAGTAGCGTCGAAAGTCTTTCTTGTGGAAAATCGTTACGGGCGATGAGAAATAGATACTCTATGACAATCTGAAACGCAGAAAGTCATGGGTAAATCCCGGCGAATCATCAAAATTGGTCGCAAAACCCAATCGCTTCGGAAAGAAGGTCCAGTGAAATTGTTGCATGACAACCCCAGGCCACACATTGCTTCCAATACAAAAGACACCATGATGAGTCTTGGCTAGGACGTCTTGCAGCACCCGGCGTATTCACCAGACATTGCTCCATCCGATTATCACTTGTTCCGGTCGATGCAACACGCCTTGTCCGATATGCACTTCCAATCAGTGAATGAGATTCGAAAATGGCTTGACGACTTTATCGTATCCAAAGACGTAACATTTTTCCGAGATGGAATCCATCAGCTACCTGAAAGGTGGCTTAAAGTTATAGAAAGCAACGGCGAATACTTTGATTGAACAATTTAATTTATTTTCTTTTAAAATAAACCTTGAATGTAGCTGAAAAAATTGGACTACTCATTTGTACACCTAATAAAAAATAAAAATTTGAATAATAATATTTCATGTTAACGTTTTTAGATTTGTTATCATATAAAACAATATATTTTAGAAACATTTGCTTTTGTATATTTACAATTATAATATTAGCTAGTTAGTTATAATATTAGTAAATGAACGGGAATGAATGGAAATGCGTGAACTTGGCGCTTTTCTTTTTACTCATTTCAACATACAATAACATAAGAGATCAAGTTTCGCTTTGAAAATAATAATGACGTGATAATTCATACGCCGAAATAAATTCAATGGCGATTAACTTAAGATTACTATTAACTTCATTTTAATCAACGTAACCACTTCACATTTTTTCTCACATGATGATCGGTTCATTTTTATTACAATAATAGACGACAATGTCAAATCGTCGAGCGACGTGCAACTGTCGTTAAACGAGATGGGAGACCTTGCAACACTCATGTTTGCTCTTAATCTGGAATATCTAACATCTAGTTTCTATGCGTCGGCGAGAACAACGCCTCTAGACAAAATTACCGAGGATGTGGAAAATAAGGGTAAGTGCAAATGGTATATTGGATCGATATGTTGGAATAGGAAGAAAAATTTTATCCGCTATATTTTATACGAGTTTCTGAACGAGTCCGTCTTGTTTATCGGAAAACTTTCAGAATGTGACAATGGTTCGCACACGTAAAATCATGCAATCGTCTGCCAATTAATCGTCAAACATAATCGTTTCCATCGAGGAAACTTTAACGAGACAGGGAAAGAGAGGGAAATAGAGGGAAAGAGAGAAAGAGAATGAGAGAATGAGAAAGATAGGGAAAGAGAGAGAGGGGAAGGTTCTTAATGGTGGCGAGATTTTCGTTTGCTTTAACCGTCTGAAACCAGCGATTTGCCTGCTGGTCTGTTCGTGCTTAAAAGTTGCGTTTTATCCGGAATCTTCGCAAGTTCAATTTAGCATTTCCATTCATATTCAAACAGCTCTTAACGTAACCGCCAATATCTACATGATCGACGAACCATTGTCGACATACTTTATATTACTGTTACGTTCGAATTCTTATTAAGTATGACTCTGTTGCTTTCCCAACGAACCAGCAAACTGGTTGGTGATCAAGTTGAACGAGTAGTTCGATATGATTGTAGGCCAGGTGGCGCCATTGATGGCGCTGACGCCGCCACTCGTGGCGCCATTCATGGCGCCATTGATGGCGCCGGAGAACATAATAGAGGTAGAAGCAACGGCGTCCGTCGGCGGCGATGACGCCTAAGTTCACGTTTCTTCTTTGTTACAATCTTCTGTATCTGCTAGCAGTTGGTGAGTACTGAAAGCACGGAACAGTTAATTTCGTTATCGAATGCTCGCGGCAAATTAATACGTTATTTTCTTTTCCAGGAGAAAATGAGTGGAAGAAATGTGCGTATCCACGTGAACATGTCGCCATTACAATTATTACTCGCGATTTTTTATCACAGGTACTTAACACTTAACACTTTGTCACGTATACGTGATTTTGCAAACCCATCAGTTACCGCTGTCACGCTCATGTGATTAAAAAAAATTAAAAAAAATTAAATTTAAATTATAAAAATGGATTCAGCGCAGTTTTTTCATAAAATATTAAAAAAAATTAAGCAAAAATGTCGGCGTTAGAGTAGGACTTACGCGAGATACACCGGCGTCAAGTGACAGTCAACAAACAAAATGTGCGGCTATCAAAATGTTAAGCATCCTGTTATTTTGAATAATATCTAGTGTCTACAATTTTGGGTGTGGATAATTATGAGCAATCGTTTCTTACATTAACTGTTTTAATGATGAAAAATATGTTGTATAACTTTTATACCTAATTTTTATCGACTAATTACGATAATGCTGGGATTTAAATAGCAACTGAAGGATTATACTAAAGCTAATCGGCTATTTGCTTAATTTGCATATTATCAAGACGTAGTAACGACAGTACTTAATTATTGATAGATTCGGGGGAGTAATACATATTCTTCCATAAATTTGATTTCCCAGAAGATTGTTGCGCTTACAAACATCTTTACGGTCGCAGAACGTACAATAAATAATGGTTTGAAATGATTGTTTCAATAAATAAAAATACGAATTAAGGGTTATCAATAAAATAAATGGATAATGCATAAAGTTTTCTCGATGTAGCCGTTTATTAATAGATTTTAATAATGCCTTAAAAAACGGAGAGACGTTACCACCACTGTAATTATATATTCCTGTTCTCTCATTCTCCGAAAAAAGCACCGAGAAGACAAAAAAATAATTAATTAACGGTGCTATCAATTCCTAGATTGATTTTCATAGTGCCATCCTACCGTTAATATTAACTATTTCGCTGCGATTAACGTGTTTATATTTATTACTCGCGATATGGTGGATATCACTGTAAAGATGTTTTCTTTCTTTTTTTGTGTGTGCGAACATGCAGTTTGGAAATTGCACACGAAAAAATTATCGGTCAAGTCGAATACTCGTTTTTTCCCACTTTAAGATAGTTGCATCTCCGGTCAGGGACGAATATAGTCGAATACATTTTTTTACATTTGCGCCGTTCAATGTAATTTTAATGAGACCGCAATAAAGAACGCACCATAAATAAAATTGTGACGATGTTATGGAATGCTCAAGCAACTTTGCTACTCGCACCTTCTTGAGAGAAGACTCTGCGTTTAAAAGACTTTGCGAGACCATCGCAGCGTCAACTTTTATGTTTTACAATTGTTTTACGACTTGATGAATTCCTTTGACATTATCCATCCATACGAGCATGATTAACCCCTTGCGGCGCAGTGGTAAGTATACTTACCACCTTTTCTTACTCGGTTTTTTAATGTTTCTGCTAAAGTTACGTTTAGATATTAATAGAATTACATAATTAGAACTTCCAAGAGTCTAAACTATTACTTTTTAATTAATATTTTCATTAATTATATGTCGCGCTATTGTTTATAAATAATTAAAGATAAAAAAAGCAGTTTTTCTCAAATTAATTCAGCTATACATAAACTAAAAGCACTAGAAAGCCACAGATTTAGACACATGTTGAGCTTACCTTATTGTACAATACATAATTTATTGAGAATTTTTCATATGCTCATTATTGAAAAAAATGTCAAATATAGCACAATTTTGAAATTGACTATTTTCAATGTAATGTCGACATACTGTGCCTAAATAACAAAACATGTTATAAAAAGCAATTTCCCATAGTTTTTATATCCTATTGTGCATCATGCTGTTCATTTTTCATTATTTATAAGTAAATAAATTTTGAAAAAAGCAATTGAAAGGAAAACAATGTAATTTCTTGGAAAGTATTTAAAATTAAAGATTATAAATTTTACTGAATATTCTTTATATGTCAAAATATAATATATATTTTTACAGAATTTCCCGTACGCCAAATTTTTATACATATTTCTATAATTTTACTCTTGCATAACGGTCATATTGGATCCGCCATTTTAAATTTAAAAAATTGAACTTAAGATTCGTAATCGGCGACCTAAAAAAAACTTTATATACGTGATTTGAACGAAATTGAAACTTTTGGTTAACATCTTATCCGCCATATTGGATCCGCCATTTTGAATGTTTAAAATTGGACTTCAGATTCTTAATCAGCGGCCCAAAAAATATATAAATATACATATTCATAAAATACTGTCCAGTAAAAAAAATGTGCGTTTCAAAGAGTTAACATTGATAAACCATAAGAGACAAGATCTGTCCCAAAAGAAACCGAACTTTTTAAAAATCATTTTATTTTCTTAATATACAACTTAATCTGATTTATCTCCTTCAAAGTATTGTCCTTGACTGTTGATACGCCGTTCCCAACGTTTTTTCCACTGTTGGAATGCATTCTGATATGTAGATTTCTAGAATGGCCTTGAGTTCCTCTAGCAACTTTTTTTATTTCATCTATACTCTTTCATCTATACTCTGAAAACAGCGTCCTTTTAAAGAATTTTTTAGCTTAGGAAACAAAAAGAAATCGGTAAGTTTGCTTTTGCAGCACTTTTCCTTGGTGAAATTTGTAACGAATGCAGTGACGAATAAATGCTTTGTCGCTTGCCATCTTTCACCTACCAACGTTTAAGAACGTTTGAATGCTGAGCCAACTTCTGCGTCGTTTTTATTATCTGGACAGTCAGTTACAGTCACGTGACAAAACCGCGGGAGAATTTCTGATTTATAAACCAGCAGTATAACACAAAATGTATCACACAAAAACACTTTAATAACATAACTTTTGTACACCTAATAATTGGTTAGCAGAAATGATATATACTTGGAAAAGGAATTTTTAACGTCACGGAGTTATCATTGTTCGATGGATCTCGATAGTAGCCTCGAAGTTTGCGATATTTTCATTATTTGAACAAACAACTCCATCCGTCATAATCTTAAACGTCATGCAGAAAAATCTTGAGAAAAACCAAGCAAAGAAATCAAGTTTTTCCTTGGAAATAAAACGTGTGGATTCATGCGTCAGAATAAATTCAATCGCGATTAATTTAAGATTACTACTTCGCATTAGTTGACGTATCCTTTTCATATTTTTTCTCATATAATGATCAGTTCATTTTTATCGCATGATAGACGAGAATCACACTTTGTCGACTGACTTGCAGCCGCCGCCGATATACGAGAAGGAACATTATGCAATAATATTCATCCTTAATCTATAGTTATGAAAAACAGTAGTGAGTCGGAGGAAATGTTTCAAAACGAGATTATCGAGACTACAGCGAACGTATTGAGTAAGTACAGTCTGTGTTCACGATCGTAGACAGAAAGATCTTGTCTGTTATACTCGTATTTTATATGAATTTCTAAACGGCTCCATCTTGTTCAGCGGGAAAATTCTATTGAAAAATGAATTCTTCCACTGAAAAACTTAAAATTAGAAGTCCATAACTATGTACACTAAATGTCAAAATATATTTTCTTTATTTCTTTTTAATTAAAATTAAAAATAAAAATATTGTAATGAGTAGCAAGCGTGAAATGACGTGAAGTGAAAAACGATCGAAAAAGAATCACGTCTTTACATAACCGTTGACCACCGTTCTCCTAGCGGAGGAGAACGACGAGGACGAGAAACAACACCCACTAATCGACCTCGACGATTTCGCTGAAGAGTTGCAGGGCCAAAATTACGAGGTCGACAAGATCGATCAGCATGGCAAGACGAAAGTGCTCAAGATGAAATTAGGAAAGACGGAAGCACAGAGTATAGTAGGAGCGGTGTCGAAACAGCACGATAAAGTAAAATCTCGTCTAAAGGGGACTTTGATTGAAGTGTGAGCGCCTATGGAAATTCTTCTAGCAGAAGAGAAAGTGGCTATTATCCTGAGAGATTTGGAAAGGCGGGAAAAATAGTTATTCTAGGTGAGATGGTAGGTATTTTTTCTTTTCTAGTGATAGCGGCGGTGGTTCTTATTCTCCTATTAGTAGCGGATACGGTAGATTGATTTTTCACACAATATCGTGATATCATTTACAATATTTACAATATCGTGACTTTTGTTGAATAATCGACGGCCGAACATGAAGTTTCCAACTCTCGGCAAATTAAACTACGGGAGATAAAATGAATGGCAAAAGTATGCAGTGACATGATTTATCATCGTCAATGTGTTCACAGAGAAAAGAAAAAGAAAAAGAGAGTCTTCAGGGTTACCGAGAAATTTGCAGTCGAGAGGGTAACCCGGCAGCTTCGGGACACGTCGAGGTCTTTAATTTTCATACAAGATCTTAAGCACGTTTACGTGTAACTATAACGTCACATTAGCAATCATGTAGTAATTGCGTCAAAATGTCGCATGAATTTTTGCAAGAATGAGCTATTTACTACACATATTTCCAAGAATCGCGAATGCACGCCAATGACCACGCTAATATTTCCTCTAGATTTTCCTAGATTCAATAGAACCTAGAAAAATCTAGGATAGAAGTTCTATTCTGGAATAGTTCTACGTAGGCAGTCTGAAAAGTTCTCGGCCTAACAATGAAAGAAAATTTTTTTTGCCGCGAAATATGTTTTATTTTTCAATATAATCTCCTGAAACTTCAATACATTTATCTCAACGTTTTTCCAATAATTCAATACCATTATTAAAGTGTGATTCCGGAAGGTCTGCAAAATATCCATCCACGGCTGCAATAGCTTCGTCATTTGATGTAAAACGCTTTCCAGCCAGGAATTTTTTCAGGTTTGGAAACAAATAATAGTCAAAGGAAGCCAAATCTGATGAATACGCTGGATGTTCAAGCAATTCGTACTTTAATTCGTTGAATTTTGCCATTGTCATAATCACCTGTATGAACACGTGCATTGTCTTAATGGGAAACGATTCTTTTCTTCTTTAAAGCTGGTCTTTTCTCACGAATTTTTGCATCCAATAGATCCAAAAGGTTACAATAATATTCAGAGTTAATCGTTTTATCTTTCTCAAGATAATCGATCAACAAAACACCTTTGTAATCCCAAAAAACTGTTGCCATAACCTTTCCTGCTGATGGAACCGTCTTTGCCTTCTTTGGTGCACGTCCACCGGCTTCAATCCATTGTTTCGACTGTTCTTCTCGTTCTGATGTATAGTGGTGGATCCAAGTTTCATCAACAGTTATGAAACGACGCTTGAAATCAATTTTATTTTGTTTAAAACGATCCAAACACGCTTGAGAAATACGCATTCGAATGCGTTTTTGGTCAATTGTTAGCAAATGCGGCACTCATCTTGCATAAAGCTTTCTCATATGTAATTCTTCATGTAAAATATTTCCAATTCGTTCTTTTGAGATGCCTATGTCCTCAGCTACTTCACGCATTTTCACTCGCCGATCATCTAACACCATATCATGGACCTGTTGAATGTTTTGTGTTGTAGCAGTTTTTGGACAACCTTCGCGTGGATCATCTTCGAGGCTTATACGACCAGATTTAAAAAGATTAAAAAAGAGCAGCCCATTTTTTCACAGTGGAAAGTGAAGGTGATGCATCCTTATGCACTTTTAACAATTTCGGATGAATTTCTGTTGGTGTTAAACCATCCACAACAAAAAATTTAATCACTGCACGATATTCAATTTTTTCCATTTTAAAAAAGACAATGACACGTCAATATTAAACTGGTGCTACTACTCGAATGACTTGACAGATCGAAATAAAATTTTACATAGGTTTATATCAGGGATGCCACTTTCCAATACAATTATAGTTTGACAGTTTCTAATGCCATCTATGTGTCAGGTCGAGAACTTTTCAGACTGCCCTCGTATTTTAGAATAGAATAGTAGAATGAATCGCGTATGTTCATCTCGATTTTTGTGTAATCTCGAACATAGAGATGACTTACACGGCGAGAATTTTTCTGGGAGATCCAAAGTTATTCGCGAGTTCAATTTAGCATTTTCATTCATATTCGAATTTAATTCGCCGGTATCTGTATAATCGAGTAATCGTCGACATATTCACTATTACGTTCGATTCCTCATTAATCATGATTTTTCCTGTATTTTAATTTCACACCTATAATTCGGCGCAAGCTTCTTCCACCAAGTTTTTCCAACAGATGAATACCGAATCTGGGAGAAGTTAATTTCGCTATCAGCCGCCAATTAATACGTCACTTTCTATTCCGGGAGAAGATGAGCGGAAGACCTATCGACGATTTATGCTGCCTTGACGTTCCATACACATACATATGCGCGCGCACGTACGTGAGTACAAAAGAATGAGGATTCTGCGAACATACGAGTCGCTACAAGCGAAAAAACTACGACCATGCAACAACAATTTAACAAAAGACTCAAAATTACTATTCATTTGTTTGTTAAATATACGAGACGGGGAATGGTATGCGTGAGTAATTAACAAAACAGGTTTGGCTCAACAAGCAAAGACCACGATTCGCCGTGTTATTCGGGCGCGAGACGTTTCTCGGAAACAATCACGAGATTCACGATCGGCTCTTCATCGGCAAAACGGAAGAACCTAGAGCCGAGGAACGTTGCGCGTCTCTTCATTTCACGTGCCTCTAATGACTCGTTCATCTCCACGTTTCTCGATAAAGCAGCGCTTACGATAATGAGACAATCCATCACTGTCATTGTCATTATTGTTACTATTATTATTATTTCCCGCTTCCCCGATTAATCCTCCGCGCAAATCCGCAGAACCGGAAAGTCCTGCCGCAACAGGGAAGCCCGAGAAACACCGATTCCGCTAATCTTCGCCGTGCGCGACTCGCGCGTCAGTTTGCCGACGTCGGTAACGGTAGCTCGCGCGAGAGATATTCAAGAATCTCTTGAATGGCAGCGCGATCGAGGCTGCAAAAAAAGGAAGGCGCCGCGCCGAGGGAGCGCCGCCGGCGAAGCCGCAAAGGAGAAATACAAGACGGACGATATACGGTATTATTTTTCCAAGCTCGCCCGAGCCCGTTCCGCATTATCAGTTCGTTGCAATTGACGGGGGGGGGGGGAGGAGCCGCGACGGGGTGCGACCGCAGAGCGTGATCCTCAGGCAGCGATTTCCCCGCGATCGGCGGCGGCTACCTGCGCTCCTGCTGTATCGCTACAGGGATATCTAGGCGCCACACGACCTTCTGCCGAGAGCGGGCTCTATAAATACGACAGATAGCGGCGCACCGCGGAACGATTTCAGCGATGCTCTCGAGATGCGAGAGAGTGTCCGTGTAGCAGCGGAGTGGCACGGGAGTAATTACCGGCGCGGCTCGGACGAAGGCTCGGTGTGTGTAACGGTAAAGTTTCGATTCTTTTCCCTCGTCCTTCCGAGCGGCCGCTCGGCTTAGCGCGGGATGGGAGCCGGCGCGGAACGAATTACCCGCCGAAACGCGAAGCCGGCCCGAGGCGCGCACCGGTAGTGGATTCCTCGCCGAGCGAGCAGCCGGTCCTCGCGCGCGAGTAGTCCCTGAGTAGTCTTGGCCTGTTCTCTCCTCGAGAAAAGTAGCGAACGCTTTCGGGACTCGGGGAGAAAAAATGGACTGACCCTTTCAACTATGCGCTAGGTGAGACTTGTTGGGAGGAAAAGAAGAAGAGAACTGGTGCAGGAGGTAGTGCGGCGAAAAAGAACAAGAACAAAAGATCGATCGCAACACATTCTCGTTTATTTATTTGTATAACATACACACACACTTGAATGATATGTGCTGGCCGCGGATAAATGACAAAACAGGTTCGGCAGCAAAAATCAGCCGTGATTCGCCGTGGTTACTCGAGCGCGAACGACCTCTCGGTCGAACCATCGGGCGAGCTTCGTGATCGGTTTTTCAGCGACAGAACGGAAGAAGGATCGATCCGTCGGGCAAGAGGAAACCGGCGCGGAACAAATCAGCCGCCGAAACGTGAACGCCGGCTTGAGACGCGGTAGCGGATTCTTCACTGAGCGAGCGGCCGCGAGCGAGTGATCGCGTCGGACGAACTCGATGATCCCCTCTTCGGCGACCTCATCGGTATAATTAACCGCTGGAAATGAGAATATCGCGCTCGCGTGAGCAAATACAAGGAGAGGAGGGTAAATCGCCGCGCGCCGATCGCGTATTCGCTCATCATTTGCTACGCGCGTCAGCAACTTGCATTATCTTTTTTTCTCTCTTATCCTCCTATTAATTTCACGGCCATACGCGTCTCTTCGTGCTCTTTGTTCTTGAGAATTTCCATTATCTGTGTCTCGCCTATGACTAGCCGCTTTTATTCGCCGAGACCGCACACTTGTTTGAGAGCTAAATGCTGAGAGAAAAATGTTCGTTATTTTCGCGTAACTGCAATTCCATGAGTGAGAGGATTACCGTCGGGATTAGCCATTCTTTCACAGTAAGTGTTGCTACAGTGCTGTAAATAGTAACTTTGTACACGCATTGCCAGTACTGTTCTTTTTTTTTTAAGAAGGGACTAAGTTTTAGTGAGATTAATCATTTTTTCTCGCAGTATAATCGATAAGAAAATTAATCAAACGACTTAATTTTATAATTTATAACATATATTTTATATAATTTAATAACTATAATATACATTAATATCAGGGTTGAGAAAGTTACTTTGTAAAAGTATCTAGTTACAGTTGCAGTTTTTTTCACTGAAAAAGTAGTTACAGTTACAGAACTAGTTACAGTTACAAGTTATTGACCTTCAAAAATAACATGTTACAGTTATAGTTATTTAGAAAGTAACGAGTCGTTACTTTTCAGTTTCTTTTTTACAATAATTGTGCTATTATTTTAAATTTTTTAATTGTATAAATTCCTTCAATTTTATATAAAAATAGTTTGTTGATTATTATATTCCTCATATTGTATTGTATATAATATATAATTTTATTTATATAATTTTATTTAATATAATTTATTATAATATATAATTTGTATACAATATATAATTTTTACAAATTAGATTTATTAATTTAAATAAACAATTCATATTTATTCTTTAAGACTATTAATAACAATTATAAGAAAGCGAATGAATTTGATAAGGATAATAAATACTAAAATATTAAAAATAATCTTAACATTAAAAATTAGATCTTTTCACTAAAAAATATATTGATATTTTGTAAATAAAGATTCATATGTTTTCTTAAATTTGCAGTTGAAGTTCTACTTGCATGAATAATTTTTTGGCCAGCGGAAATTTTGCAGAGAAATGCCTAGTTATTCTTGTTTTCGAATTTTTGCTGTAACTTGAATAATTCTGGCATATGCTGGTCATAACATTTTATAATCCCTCTCCGAAGATTGAAATGTTTTATCCATTGCTTGAATTTTTTATATAACTGAAACTACGCAGCGCACTTCACGCTGAACGCAAATTATGTTAACAAATAAAGATTGGTGACGCGCGACGGAAATGTCCAATAGGCATACAATTTTTTTGAAAAAAATACAGGTTACGTTCGGAGAGAAAACTATCAGCGCTATTGTGTCATTTTATTCTTATTTTACATCTAATGAACGATAAAGATAGATGACGCAATAACGCGTTTTCCAAATACAGCCAGAATAACTGCATGCTTATTGGATATCAAGCATCGCACGTCGCATTATCGTGCTGGTCTAGCAGAAGCTGATCTATCTTAAGTTCGAAATATATAAAGTAACTATTAAAATAATTATTAAATTAGTTACTAGTTATCAAATAAACGTAACTAAGTTAAGTTATAGATAGAAAAAATAGAACAAAATTAAGTTATAGTTTCCAAAAAAAAAATAACTAACTGTAATTTCGTTACAAGTAACGAGTTACCTCCCAACCCTGATTAATATTAATATTAATATAATGATAAATTTAGTGAGATTAATCCATTTTCTCTTTCACTCTGAGGTTATTGTTAAAACCTGAATCGAGACCTATCGTCGTCGATACAGCACGGACTTATTTCAGACAAAGAAGAAAGGAACCTTTTCAGTTCCGGAATTTCATAGGGCCGAGAGGAAAAGCCGAAGCAGCTGCTTAGTTCTGATTAATAACTCGCGTCCTCGGTCGCAGAAGTGACGGAACGCGTCACGTCGGCCTGTGTGGAAAATGTAGGTCTGCAGGTCGTTGAATACCTATTGACTCCGATCGAATGTACCGTCGTGAACAGGACCCGGCTCTTCTTCGTCCTCTTCTTACGTTCGCACAATCGTACGTATTTTCTGGTCGTTGACCGTCGCCGGACGGCGAACTCGCGGTCTCCTCGGCAGTAGCTTCTGCGGCCGGGAAAAACTAGGCGGGAGAGCCGGGGGGGGGGGGGCAGATCGTAAAAACTCACTCAGACGAGAGGAGTAATTGTATCTCCGGTGCCTCCCTCGACTTCTCGGAGGCGCTCGCTTCGGCTCCGGTCACTCCAGAAATTTACACGTGCGTGCCACTTCCATCTTGGAGAGCTCCGAGAACGACGACGACGTGAGGCGCGAGAACTCGATTAAACGTCTCATAATCGCGCATACTTCGAGATACATTTGTCAGATTTATTCAACTCGAGCATACCAGAAACGAGGAAAAGCAGCCGGCGCGTTGAGAGAGCGGAATATCTGACGCGTATGTCAACTAGCTGGCCGGATACCGACAAAAAGACGAAAAGGTTGTCACTTGATTAATCGTTGATATCAACGACGAATCGCTCGCATCCGTTATATTAAAACGTCAAAATGTCAGGTCGCGTTAAATACGCGCCCGTGACAGATTAATGACGGCCCCCGGGGTATAAGTATAATTCAGTCGTTTCTGCGCGAGATGAGAAAATCATTCTGGTTAAAACCGGACTCGCGCGGCCGCGGCTAATTAACGCTTTATAGACGACCGTATCATGTCGGTAAACGACAAGCCGGACGGCTATTAAGCGGCCGGCGGCAAGAAGGAGACGGTCGATTGCGCGCCCATTCAAAGGCGCATCGATGCGATAATCGCCAAGTTACTGGCATCGAAAATCACGCATGTTACTATTATTACTGCTGCACACACAGGTGCGAATCTCGAAGTCGAAGTCTCGCGAAACTGTCTGAAAAAGAGACATCGCTAAGCGGGCGCTCGCCGACACGTTTCGGTCGCTCCTTCTTGCTCCTTTCATTCCGGGCCGCCGCTGCGCTGCACTGCGCGGATGGCGAATATGCCCGATCACTCGAGGCATTAATCACCGTCGATTGTAGTACGCGACCTAATCCATTGCTCCGTTATTTCACTTTTTGCGACTATACGAGCGTAGCCCGACGCGCTATCGGCGAATTAATGGCGTTACCGTCAGGTGAATGGGTTCGTCGCGCGTTCCCGATATATCCGCGCCGCAGCTGCGAGAGCGCAAAGGTGTATCGCGGCCGCGTAATCGCCATTAAAGCCTCACGCTCGCGCATTGCGACGCGCTCAAGCTCGAGCGGCGCACAATGGAGCTAGATGACATTTTTTTATTGAAAATTCTCTGGAAACCTGAATTTCCAACCGATCATCGACACCAATGGATGAGGTTGATCCTGAATAAATTCCAAAGAGATCTGTCTAGTCGAAATTTTGCAAAAATTATCGGTTCAGGGCTCATGGGTTTAGGGTTTGTCTTAAAAGTTTGTCGTTTAAAGTACAGTGTCTTGGGTTCGACCTCAATCGATTCGAGCCTATGAGTACTAAATGCGAGACCCCGGAACTTATAATCACCTTTTAGAAAACTCAGAATTTCAAAGCTCATCATTTTAACCCATATTAAGAAAGAATTAAGGATTAAACCCCTCGGTTTTGTGCTTAACGGGTCTATATTTGATGTTTTTGTATTTTGGGCATATGACTTTTGGGTTAATGGGTTTCTGCTTCAAGA